TCACAACTCGATTCTATGGGAAAAGCTCTCACCAAGGAGTTGAGTATCATTCAAGGACCGCCAGGTGAGGAACGCTTCAAATCTTAACGTCTACAATTTCAGTAACCTTACATGCCACTGTAGGGACAGGAAAAACATTCATCGGATCACAGATTGTGAAGGACATACGTGATCATACCAATCTTAGGGTTCTTATCATATCCTTGACTAACCATGCAATCGACCAATTTCTCGAGTATCTACTTGATACCGATATTCCTGCCGGTGACATAATTCGTCTTGGGTCTAAGTCCACTTCTCGAACGAGCCAACTTCTCATATCAAGACAGATAGGCTTAAAGCTATCTAGAGAACACCGGTCGATTATGAATAAAATGCAGGTTGACCGTGCAGGAATAATCGAGAAACTGAAGAGTTCATTTGGTACATATCTAGCCCGGGCTGATTCTTTCGAGGCCATCCTCGAACATCTCGAATTCTCTCCTGAGGACCGCCGTTTTCATACAGGCTTCCTTGTTCCATCAGACGACAAGGGATGGAGTCGTGTAGGAAAGAGAGGAAAACGAATCCAGCCGGACTATCTTTTCTGTCGTTGGAAGGAAGGTCAAGGTCCTGGGATATTCATAAACAGAGTTCCAAATGAGTGCAAGGATATCTGGTATATGGACGCAGCAACCCGACAGAAGCTTTTGGAAAAGTGGATCTCAGAACTCATTCAGGAGCGTGTGGACGCAGTCGAAAACATAGCACTCCGAGCAGATGAACATCACAAGCAACACGAGGCCATAAAATCAGAGAACCAAGTGGATAAGCTGCGCTCAGCGAGAGTTATCGGTTGTACAACGACTGCAGCAGCTACGTTCAGTAAACTCATATGGGCCGCAAGGCCTGATGTTGTGCTCGTCGAAGAAGCTGGTGAAATTCTTGAAAGTCACGTCACCACAGCTATCGCACCGTCAGTTAAGCAGCTCATTCTTATTGGGGATCACAAGCAATTGCGACCAAAGATCAACAATTACGCGTTGACTGTAGAAAAAGGTGACGGCTATAATCTGAACATGTCTTTGTTTGAAAGACTTATCCGTCAGGGGTACCAGTACACATCATTACAAAAGCAGCACCGGATGCGTCCAGAGATATCTATTTTCCCGAGAGAGTTGACATATCCACAACTTGTCGATGGGCCGTCGACATCTAGTCGACAGCGAATTCTTGGGTTACAAGATAATGTTATCTTCATCGACCACGAGTATCCAGAAAGCAAGGTTTCTGCTCTCACTGATAGGAATGAGAATGGGTCAAAGACGAGTAAAGAGAACCCTTTCGAAGTCATGATGATACTCGGATTGGTTAGATACCTTGCTCAACAAGGCTACGGCACCAATAGAATGGTGGTGCTCACCCCTTACCTCGGGCAGCTTCGTCTTCTTAAGGAGATGTTGCAAAGGGACAACGATCCTATTTTAAATGATCCTGATACTGCGGAATTGATCCAAGCTGGCATCTTGACTCAGGCGGCATCCAAGGTTGGAAAACGACCACTACGCCTATCAACTATTGGTACGTTTGTTAGCGACTCACTTAATACTTCGGGCCTAATCTTCTTTACAGATAATTACCAAGGAGAAGAAAGTGATATCGTTATTGCTTCACTCACAAGAAGTAACATCGAGGGAGACATTGGGTTCATGGCCGCAAGAGAGCGGTTGAACGTCCTAATAACTCGAGCAAGAGACTGTCTTATCATTATTGGTAACATGAGAACTTTCATGAATAGCAAACGAGGCAAAACAACTTGGGAACCTTACTTCAAACTTCTCATGGATAATGGCCGCCTCTATGATGGTCTCCCAATCCAATGCGAAAAGCATCCCGATAGAACATCTTTACTCAAGACACCTGATGATTTTCGCATGTACGCTCCGGATGGTGGGTGTGCAGAACTATGCGGGGTGATACTCAATTGTGGTGTACACTCATGTAATCGCAGTTGTCACCGTTTGAGCGACCACTCACAAGTATATTGTACACAATTAGTGGAGAAGACTTGTGACAGACAGCATAAGACGCAAGTCAAGTGCAATCAAAAAAGTAAACGATGCTTCAAATGTGCTGAAGAGGACAAAGAGCAGGAACAGCGAATCAAACGAGACCTAGATCTGGAGCGACGACGATTAGCACGCGAAAAAGCTTATGCAGCAGAGCTTCAGCAAATACAAGATGAGATTTACCACCAGAAGCTTCTTATGCGGTATCAGTCGGAAGAAGAGGAACAGAAGAGAAACCTTGCCCAACAGCGAGAGAAGCTGGCGGCTTTAGAAAGTACAACCGTTCGCATGAAGAAGCAGAAAGAAACCGCGCAGAAAAACACTGTCTCAAAAGTCGACAAAAATGACAAGCTCAGAAAAGAAAAGGACCTTCCAAGTAATGCTCGAGATGAATGGGAAAACTCCAAGAAAACCGAACTTGTGTCGTCTGTTGCGTTGGATGAGCTAATGGACATGATTGGATTAGAACAGGTCAAGGAGACTTTCCTCCAGATCAAAAGTACCATTGACACGAAAATCCGCCAGAACGTCTCACTTGAATCACAACGATTTGGTTGTACATTACTTGGAAATCCAGGAACTGGTCAGTGATTTTCATCTATAGAGTTAATTAGTGTACACGTCCTAATCCATTTTTCTCAGGCAAAACAACTGTCGCGCGGCTATACGCAAAGTTCCTCACATCCGCTGGAGTCATACCAGGCTCTCACTTTGAGGAAACTACCGGTTCTCGTCTGGCAAATCTCGGAGTGGCTGGTTGTCAAAGCCTCATCGACAAAATCCTCAATGATGGAGGCGGCATTGTTTTTATCGACGAGGCATATCAACTCACTTCCGGTAACAGCCCTGGAGGAAGCGGTGTATTGGACTTTCTACTGGCAGAGATTGAAAATCTCACTGGCAAAATTGTGTTTGTCTTGGCTGGCTACAGTAAACAGATGGAAAGTTTTTTCTCGCACAACCCGGGCTTACCTAGTCGCTTTCCTGTTGAAATGAAATTTGCGGACTACACAAACGAGGAATTGTTAGCCATTCTCAGGCTCAAAATTGACAAGCAATATAATGGACAGATGAAGTGCGAGGAGGGTCTGTCCGGCCTATTCTGTCGCATTGCCGCAAGAAGAATCGGCCATGGTCGAGGACGAGATGGGTTTGGAAACGCCAGGAGTGTCGAAAATGCTCTAGCTTTGATACAACGCCGACAATCCGTCAGGTTGAAGAATGCAAGGAGAGCATGCCTCCAAGCAGATGACTTCCTTCTGACCAAAGAAGATCTCATAGGGCCAGAACCCTCAGAAGCACTCTCTAGGTCGGTCGGATGGCAGAAATTACAACAGCTTACTGGGCTAGCATTGGTTAAACAAGCTATCCAGGCACTTGTTACTAGCGTCCAACAAAATTACCTTCGCGAGCTTGTAGAACAACCACCGATCGAATACTCACTGAATCGTATCTTCTTAGGGAACCCTGGGACCGGGAAGACTACTGTGGCAAAGCTATATGGACAGATATTAGTTGACATTGGGCTCTTATCAAAAGGCGAAGGTATGTCTTTATTTTTCTTTTATTATTATTATTTTTTTAGCCACGACTCATCTTGCTGGTTTGACATAAAATTAGAGGTATCATTATTCTGACTTATAGTAGTGGTGGTAAAAAATCCGTCTGATTTTGTTGGATCCGCTCTTGGGGTGTCTGAGCAGTTGACCAATATCACAAAAAGATGGTGATCATTCTCGCTGGCTACACCACGGACATGCAACGTCTATTGTCAGTCAACGAGGGCCTAACATCCCGCTTTCCAGAAGTAATCAGCTTTCGCAATCTTACGCCGAATGAATGCGTTCTGCTCTTATTGAAGCTACTGAATGTACAAAAGACAGCTTTGCGACGCAAGGGTACTGTGCTGAACATTGATGCTCTCGAGTCTGCTTCAAAAGACTCGTCGAGGCTTTTCGCGCTTTTTTCAAATCTCTCCAAACAGAAGAGCTGGGCCAACGCTCGTGACATAGAGACTTTGAGCAAGCGTGCGTTCTATAAAGCCATTAATTTGAAGAGTCAGGCCAAAGGACTCCTCATGGACGAAGACATGGTGGTCTCAGAAGCTACCGCTCTCTTTGAGCAACGACAAAGTAGAAACGTCCTAAACACAATCCAACCGACCAGAAATACGAGTATAGCCGCTGGACCGGCTGTCGAGCCCCGTCCAGAGATGAGAAATTGGGTGAATTGCGGTACAACTCACAAATGCGACACTACCACCACTAAGCTACAGAGGTCTGAAACCTCCGAAGCGTCACTGATACAGAATAAGCCTAGGCCAGATCAGCTACCTCGAAGGAACAAGCAAGGTGCGCAAAGAGACAGTGGTGTCAGCGATGAGACGTGGGAACAGCTGCAACTAGACAGAAAAGCAGAGCAAGCTCGTGAACAAGAATACCAAGAGTTGTTAGCGAGTGCCGACAAGGCAAGAGAGGCGGACAGGGCTAAGATCCTTAAGAGACTCATTGAAGAAGAGGAACGAAGGGAATGTGAGGAAAAAATAATGGTGAAACTCCGAGAGTTGGGAGCATGTCCCGCAGGATATGCGTGGATAAAACAGGAGAACGGCTATCGTTGTGAGGGGGGTTCTCATTTCATGGCAAACCAGCAATTATAAAACTCATATCAACCTTGGTGTATCAAAATTAGATTGTATGTATATAAACCTCGATGATCTCAGTCATATCTTTGCTCTTGGCACCATATTCGAGGTCACGAAAAAAGGCTACAACCTTCGCGAAGGAAGGGTTGGCTTATTGGCTAAAACTTCGCGCACAAGTTATAAGTCTATCTCGATATATAGAACCCCTCTATTTACACTGCTATTCAAAGAAATCACTGCCTTGGATCTTGGCTAGAGTCTCCAACCGTTTCATTGCAAACTCCCGGCACCAGTCACGGTCAAATACGTCAGTGGTTGTCGTCACTGAAGTCCTGTCCAGCCACAACATACCGTCTTGCCCACCGCAGAGCGTTGCTAGAGCTGCGCTTGTTGTTGTTATTTTGATTTCGGTTGCCGCCTCGGTTCCTGCCGTTTCCATTTCGTCCATTTCCAGTCGTTGCAGCGGTGGTAGTGACGGCAGCAGCGGCGGTCGTTTCAGTGGCTGCCGCCCCTAGAACGACCGTCGGCGTCTGCTGGGGCGCTTCCTTGCTCACAATAGTGTTGGCGAGGATGGATGCGACAGCCTTGGCGTTCTGCTCGGCCTCTGCGGAGCCCGCGGCTTGGTTTGCGGCTACGGCTGCTCCGAAATCAGCTTGGTTCTGCTGGACCTGAGCGAGAACAGCATCAAGGGTCTGTAGGGTGGCGATGTTCTCGGGAGTATTGACCTTCGGTGTGGTGTCTATTTGCTGGACGGCGAAACAGCCACCTTCTGGATGTTAGTAACGTATAAAACGACGCTCCTAGAGATCTACCCACCGAAAGGCCCAGCAACGGCGTTGTTTCGGCAACGAACAGTGCACACATTGCCAGTTGAGGCTATGGGAATCCGTTAGCGTTGTGCAGCCAATGATCATTTTTGGTACGGCTTACCTCCGGTGCAGGTGAAGCTGTCGGGCATCTGGACAGTGATATTGAAGTCCTGTGCTTTGGCTTGAGAGAATCCATTGACCCCGGGCACATTATTCGTCACGGTCAGGTTCTGGCTAATCGTTCCCGAGTTGCTGGTCTCGTCCAAGTCACAGACATACGGACCGGCTCCGTCAGCATTGACCTGGTGGATGGTCACAGTAAGCTGGCTTCCTGCCTGAACTTGAGTGACAGCGCCAGCCGCCAAGGCGTTTTCTGTATTCTCTCCCACGTCTATATTTCCGCTGAGTTCCGTCCGGCCACACTGGTTGACGATATTGGCTGTGATCTCTGCATCACGGATGATAGTAGCATCTTGTTGGCAAGGGTTTATGGTTGTGCAGTTCCGGGCAATGGAAGGATCAACTACAGTCTGTTAGAACAGCTGTAGTCAGAGTTCAGACCTGGTGGCACGTACCTTGAAAGCCAACACTAGCAGGTGAACCAGCAATTCCTTGAGCATTTATTACAACGCCGTGAGCTCTCACCAAAGAGATCAGTGCCGCCGTGGGCAAGAATGCTGTTGCATAGAACATGATAGAAATGTGTCTGTAAGAGAGAGAGAGAGAGAGAGATAAAAACAAATATCAAGGCCCGGCCTAACGAAACGAAGGATGCGTAAAATCACAAAAGAAAGGATCGTCAAGACCCTGAACAGAAAGCAATACACGAAGGGAAATTATCACCAATGACTCTCGAGTCTATGCCAGACAAGGTGCAGCAGTCATGCTTAATTATATACCGTAGGGAGTCTCACGATCGAATGATTCTATACCCATGCTCTGTTGGCGCTTAATCTCGCAAAGCCCTGTCAGGGCAAATTTGAGGCACGCATTGAGGCTGCCAACGTAACCGTCGCAAAGCGGTGGGGATGAAGACCATCCACGGTGATTGCAACTTACTTAACAGGGCATAGAATCTGTATTGAGCGAGTATGAGGCCGTCTCATAACAAAGTCGCCCACCGAGTTTCGTGTGTCTCCTAGCAGAGTTGTGATGACTCCACATTTGTGAGCGTCGTGACTCGTTGGTCTCCGTCTCGGTCGGATATGGCCCCATTCGCAGTCTCACTTGAGTGGATGTGTCCCTGCCTGCCTTCCGATGATTGAGGCTCGCGGATATAGCAGGGAATATTTGGGTTGGATCTGGCCGAGATGATGCTTCGCAAAACCCCCTGCCAAGAACAAGTGGATATGGCCTCGCGGGACCCTAAGACAACATCAGGGCAACTGGAAACGGGACTAGGGGTCGCGAACATGAAGCAGAAATAACTTCCTCGGTAGTTCTCCAAACAGAAGAATAATGGGATTTCTCCATGACACTCTTGAGATTGAACTTAGTACCACGCTCGCCATTTCCATAGAACGCCTCCGTAGCCAGTGATGCAAAAACATAACAGTTGTTTAGAGCCTTAATTAGTCTTCAGCGCGTGGCATACTGCTCTCTTTGGTAAACTGCAGATGTACCGCCTGTGGCCGCACACCATCCTCGCCAGGTTCCGGATCTGCCCTGATGATATCAGGCAGCCCGATTGAGGCTCCCTGTGATGAGCAAGATCTGCGGTGCAGGTTCCGGCTAGATAGTGCAGATCTACGTGATACGCCAGCAGAGCCCGGTCCTCTGTCCACATACAGTACGCGTGTGGTAGTCCTGTTGTATGTACAGTAATCGAGGTCAGTCCCGCTGTCTCGGGAGAAAGGCAGTTGCTCGTCGTACGTTCTGCTGTCACCGGAAACAAATCGCGTCACAGGCGATCATCTGCGGCGGTAGGCCATCCCTGCAGCGCGTGGCCTTGGCGCTTCTAAGCCTCTAGAAACAGCCCAGATCGGGCAGTGGGATTGTCGGACCCACGCCCCTGTTTCAGTGCATACTTCACCTAGCTGCTCGCGCTGCACACAGCCTGTGGCCGCAAGCATCGGCGGATCGCACCAGGGGAACCTTTTGTCTCTCCAGGGCGATCTCGGCTGCAGCTGCCCTAGACGCCTGATGTTTTGAGACGGCAAGAGTTGACCTGCTAGTGTTCGGCCCATACCGGGTTTTCTCCGATTACCAGTCAGAGTCTAAGACTCTTTGACGCTATGGCGGTGCGGCTCGACATCCTTGTTGCAGCATCGTTGACTAAATTTAGACATAATCTTAAAGCACTAGAGCCCATCGTCTCTACCGTCAATTCGATCACAATTCTTGACTTGTTTTATTCGTCGACTGCGTCATTCAGTAAATAGGATAGCAGAAAGCTGGCTAACTATATACATTACAGACTGCGTCAAGTAGCTGTAAAGTCAACACGAAGACAATTGGTGGCCGCATACCTTGTTGGGAAGCCTCCAAGCTAGTGCTTGATTTAAGTCTCCGAGACCTTATATGTCTCCGACTCTGGTATAACTGCTTTTCTAGATGGTCATTGATTGCTGCCCAGACGTTCGCGTGCCCATCATCTTCCCGCATCTTCTACATAGTATTCATCTCATCCCAAATGGCGCTTGATCCAATGAACGCCCGAGAGATACTGATTGTTGGCGCAACTGGTCAACAAGGCAGGGCCACGATTGCAGCTTTACAGCATCAGAGACCACACAGCCCATGTATCCATATTCTTGCCCTCACACGATCCATGGGATCCTCCAAGTCCCAGTCCCTCAAACAAGCGTATCCAGACATTACTCTTGTCGAAGGGGACACCCGGACACCTGCACCCATCTTCGCCACTCATCCTGATATATCTGCCATCTTTCTCGTGACTGTTCCTCACGACGAGGAAGCACAAGCAATTCCGCTCATCGACTTTGCACTCACGAAGACGCACAACGTCAACCATATTGTGTTTAGTAGCGTTGATCGTGGCGGTAGAGATGCTAGCTGGGACAATCCTACAAAAGTGCCACATTTTGCTACAAAGCATGCCATCGAGTTGCATCTGCGAGACGCTTGCACAAAGGCTGCCAAGCGATGGACAATACTCCGGCCCACAGGATTTATGGATAATTATAAGCCAGGATTCTTCGGCTCCATGATGGCTTCGTTATGGGCTGCAGGGCTCCCATCTGATCGTAAAACGCAACTTATAAGTGCTCGAGATATTGGCATATTCGCAGCAAAGGCATTGCTCGATCCAGACGTGTGGGCTGGCGAAGCCGTCTCTCTTGCAAGTGATGAGCTGACATACTCACAATTTCGAGACATTTTCAAGAAGGCGATTGGCAAGGACTTACCAGAAGCAAACTGGCTTGTTGCAAGGGGTGTCATGTGGTTGGTTGAAGAGGCAAGAACGAGCTTCGAGTGGTTTGACAAGTTTGGGTACAAAGCAGATATCGAATTCTGCAGGCAGAAGAATCCTGGCTTGCAAAATTGGGAAGCATGGCTGACTGAAAGCAGCGGTTGGAAATCTTAGTCCACTGAAAATATTTGATCAATTCGTGACTTGAGGCGCCCAAGTAATCAGGTACCTGGTTAAGGGTGGATGGGATTGTGGATAGTGGTGTGGCGAGTGAATCTAGTGTTGGAATATACGAATGATTCATGACCGTTGAACATCACATATCGATAGTAGACATCGCCCTGTTTTCCCGCTCGTCATCACTTCCACCCGATGAGCTCGCATTGCAACGCAGCATACCATGCTTCATCATCCTCGGCCCAACCCTTGAGAGCTTTTTTTGTCTTTTCGATCTCCGCCTCTGTAGTACCCGCCTTGAGCCAACTATCTCGGTAAAATGGGTCTTCAAACCTGCCGAAGCAACCATCTGCGTACCACCTTCGAGCAGCAGCGCTCGAATGGACTGTCGTGCCTGCTCCCACTTTGACCTTCCCTCCCGCGAGATCAAAACCCGCCTTTCTGAGCAAAGCTGGCATTCTCCCACCTGGTAGATCTGCGCCAACGGCTCCGTAGCACAGGGCATTCGTCATATTCCGGGTCCACAGACGGTCAAGATCGTAAGAGCGGGGATAGAAGTGCAGTTCTGCCGCGTCCCTCGTTGCTAGAATTCCCCCTGGCTTCAATACTCTGCTCATCTCAATGATTGCCTTCAGCGCGACATCTTGTGGCTGAAGATGCGGGAAAAGCTGCGATGCGTACACCACATCGAATGCATCATCCTCGAATGGCAGCCCTTGAAGCAGGTCTGCGCTGATAAACGACAAGTCTCCGGCCCCGTCCCTGGCATGTTCGTCGGCAACAGCTCGGCCTTGTTCGAGGACCACCTCCGAGATGTCAACGCCGACAACCCCACCACGGGGCACCAACGCGCGGAACCCAGCAGTGATTGTTCCAGGCCCGCAGCCTACGTCAAGTATACGATCTGTCGGCTTCAAATATGGCAAGAGAAATGCAGCGTCGGTTTCGATAGTGCGGGAAGCGTGACTACCAACGGTAGCTGCAGCGTAACCTTGAGTATACATTGTATGACGAGGTTGGCTCTGGTAGTCCTGTTATTATTATTGTTAGCCAGACTGCATCTCCAGGCGGCGTCTACAGAGACACATAGGAGGCTTCGAATATACTGATCCTTGAAGGTCTATGCGGATGAGCGCTTCAGGAACAAACGTACAAGACCGCAATCGAATCAGGCAAACGAAGACTTGGCTGAATGCACCAAGGTATTGCACAATTTCGGTGGGGGATGCTGCACGTAGATGCCGTGCGGACCTCGGAGCTGACGGCCGGAGTTGGGACTTGACAGCTCCAGCAGAACACTCGATCTCGCGAAGTAGATACGCACAACACAGTCAGGGATTCAGTCTTCACATAGATTCTGTATGATTTTTTGGAAACACGTGGGCAGCAAATATCCGTCTAATGAGGTAGACTAAATCGTCACAGGAAATTATATAATACACAACGTAACGCCATTCCATCAGTCTCTCCATATGCGAGCAAAGTAAGGGTATACCGCAAGCCATCTAACGACCTGGATATCGTACAATCAATAGCAATAGTCGGGGCATTCTTTACAGAGCCTCGATGGCCTTCAACAGCACGTTAACTCCACGTTCACCAATTTCTTCCTCACCATCGACTCTCAGTAGGGCTGCGACGTCGCTTAGAATACCGAGTGGAATATAGCAGCCTGTCTTGGCGCGTTCCAGGCTTTCTTTCAGCCTGCTCGTGTGTTCCCACTCTTTGGCCGCAACCTCTGCTCTCTCGATGACTCTGTTTGAAATGCCACACATGGCAGCGCAGTGCATGCCGAAGGAGCCCTCGGCCACACCATCCTCCAGCTTGTACAAGAAGGTTATCTTGCGGTTCTCGTCATCCACGTGGATCTGCATGCGCCTAGCTCGGATCTCAGGATGGTTTTCGAACTCCGTAGCGAGAGAGTGATAATGTGTAGCGAAAAAGCCTATGCAGCCAATGTGAGACGCTACATGGTGGAGTACGGCCTGGGCCACTGCGACACCATCGTAAGATGACGTGCCTCGACCGAGCTCATCAAGAATGACGAGTGATCTTGGTGTAGCCTCGGAGAGAATCTTCTTCGTCTCAGATAGCTCTACGAAGAACGTGGATTGCGCCGCGAAGATGTTGTCATTAGCGCCAAGTCGAGACATGATACGGTCAACAGGCGTCAAGCGGGCAGAAACAGCCGGGACATAACAGCCAATCTGAGCCATGATAACTGCAATGCACGACTGTCACTAGAGTTAGCAAAGAGACTGAGATATCAAAGCCTCAATACTTACCATTCGAAGGATAGTGGACTTTCCGGCCGCGTTCGCACCCGTCAGCAGGTTGATCTTTGCCTCGTCTCCACCAAGTTTGATATCGTTCGGAATGAAATCAGCAACGGAGTTGGTCATACAAGGGTGACGAAGCTCCTCGAATTCCAGGACGCTGCGTTCTTCGTCTACAAATGTTGGCCGGCAGCTAGGCTCGCCCAATGCGGACGAAGCCTTAGCAAGACTGACGAGACAGTCAAGCTGCGAGGTGATCTTAATTGCCTGCAGCCAAGTCTCATAGTCCGAATCGAAACGTTTGAAAAATCGAGAGGCAACCTCACGCACAATCTGGGAATGGGTCTCCTCGGCTTCCTGCAATTCCCGAACAAGTTCATCAAGTTGGCGGAAATAGTAGCGCTTTACAGCGGCGGTAGCTGACATTTGACGCCAGTCTTTGGGAACTTTGACAGCTTTAGGAACCTCTACTTGGTAGATTTCCTTGCCAACATCGGTGTATTTCAGCGTCTTACACTTCAGCAGACCTTTCTGTTTAGTTAGAAGATCCTGTAATTCGCCTTTGATCCGATCGATGTTGTCTGCACTGCTGTCGAAGTCCTCCTCAATTCCCCGCTCAGGGATCAGAAGTTTCTCGTCCTGGGCCTTCTTCCTGTCAAAGGCACTCTTCCAATAATTCAAAGGCTCCTGCAAGTTAGGCATCGATGACAGAAGTCTGTCAACGAGGCCATTTCCACCACCAAAGGCACTCAAAAGGCTCATAGTGTACTCAATCTGCTCGAACCCTTCGAGAACTCTCATGAAGTCTTCAGCTCGGCAGGCACCAGCGTGAACTCGGGAGATGAGCCTCTCGAGGTCAGGCATCTTGGTCATCTGAGATGAAAATTGCTCACGAATGCTTCTATCAGCGTTCAATAGATCGACGGCATCAAGGCGCTCGTTGATCTTCTGTATGTTGCATAACGGATGGCACACCCATTGCCTGAATAGACGCTTCCCGAATGGGGTGACGCATCGGTTGAGCAAATTGAAAAGGGTGCCATCCGATCCGCCGTTGGCGGTGTTGGAGAATATTTCCAGATTGACGAGGGACTGGCCGTCAAGAATCAGCGTTCCGTTGCGATGAATAGGGTTGTACCATTCGAAGTTGCCCTGAGAGAGCAGATTGCGCTCCAATTTAAGGTTCCTTAGATAGTTGGTCAACGCTCCGAGGGCAGACATGAGGAAATCCTTTTCCCTGGCCTCTTGAAGCTTCTGTGGCCAGACCTCTTCTCGGGCTTCGTCCTCAGAGATGAAATAGCCACTGCAATCGAGCTCACGCCGAGTAGTATCGGCATCCCAGAAGTCGCTGCCAGCTTTCATGTAGTTCCAGATAGTCAGGGGGCTTGTGTTATTCTTGAGGATACGCAGAGCCTTTGTCGAGAGGTGCGACTTCTCTAGGAGCAGTTCTCGTGGCGAGGTCTGTGCGACAAATGTCTCGAACTTAGTGAGGTCGACATCGTCCTCGAACTCTGAGATAAAGAACTGACCCGTAGCAGCATCGACAAAGGCGATTCCAAAGGCGGGCTTGTCATCAATGACTGATTCTTTGATCGCGGCGCAGTATGTGGCCATGTCGTCTTGCAGCATGCTGCCGTCGACCAAAGTGCCGCCAGTGAGAACACAGGCAAGCTCTCGTCGGATGATCTTGTCCTGCTTCTTGCTCTTGGCGCTCGAATCGTCCCGCTCTCGCATCTCTTTGCCGAGAGCCGATTCCATCTGGTCCACGCGGGCTACCTTGTAGCCCTTTGCGACGAACTGGTTGACCCACATGTCAAGGGAGCTTTCGGGAACGCCAACCATGCGCATATTGACCCGATCGGTTAGTTTCAGGTCGAACAGTTGGTGGCCGATGGTAGCGTCATTCTCGTAGAGCTCGTAGAATTTGCCTTTCTTGAAGAAAACCACCGTGTTCCATAATTTCTGTTTGATCTCCCAGTATTGCTTTTCAAACGGCGAGAACTTATTCCATGCCATTGGCGGAACATAGACAGTAGATGGATCGTAGTCTGGGTGGCCTGGCTTGTTGCGGTTGATATCGGCTATGTCAGCTAGCCAAGAATATCTCTGCTCGGGCTCCCTGGTGTGAGCCTTCTCCTTGGTCTTTGAAGATGTGGGCTTCGGGGCAGGCCGATGCGCGGCAGGCCGTGGCTGTGCTGGTGTGATGTTTTCAGGATCATATTTCCATTGCTGGGCTGAGGACGCGGCCGGAATGTCCTCCATGGTCTCGTCTTCATCGTCCTTGGAAGGAGATGGCGAGGTTGTTGGACGTTTCCGAGGGGCGGCCGCGGCTTTGGGAGCAGGACGCTTCCTTTTCTTAGACTTGGAGTTGGAGGGAGCGTCGGACTCATCAGAGACGACGAAGTCAGCCATATCATCTACAACACAAGCACGGTCAGCTCGTCTAACGGTCTATTCAGCAGACCAAAAGGCATACCGTCGTCATCTTCTGCAGCTGCGTCGTGATCCATCTGGTACTCATCTTCCTCGTCGTCATCGTCGTCCAGTGCGGCTCGAGCGGCTCGGCCACGGCTTCTAGGTTGGCGGGCCTTGAGGGCGACGAAGACGTCCTCATCATCGTCATCGGAAGACTCGGCGTAGTTAACGACTTTCTTCGCCTGGAGATAGCGTAAGCAGGGTGGTTAAGACGCCAGGGCCACTTTGAAGGTCAAGGCCAGGGAGGTTCTGTGGTGGCTCACCTTGCGAGAAGGACTGCTGACGAGGGCGTGCTTGGTGCCGACGGCCGCCTGCTTGATGACAACCTCAGCAGGGGTCAAAGGCGAGGGCAAGCTGTCGGACACTACCTTGACTGCAGCCATTGAGTCTCTGTTCTCTTGAGAGCTGAGGGGCTCGGCGGCGTCACTGCTGGGCAGCGGGGTGAGGTTGGCGTGGCGCCTGGAGGAGGCCATGGAGTTGGATTTTGTGGTCTCCTTGAGGCACGGGGACGAGTCGACGTCGTCTTGTTGGGGGGAGGTGGACGTTTTGGCGGATGCAGGCGTGGAGGCAGCGGCGGACGCATTGGGAGTTGAGGCGGCTGCCTTGGAGAAGAAACCGAGGATGCTCTTCTGCTGCTTGCCTGTGGACGGCACACTCGCTCTTTTGGCCATCGACGACGACGGCGTACGCGCAGGAGCTCCCATCTTGCCTATGACGCCGGACACGAGAAGAGAAGCAATTGGCTTATGACAACGTGTGTTTGAGCGGTTTCAAGGGGAATTGCACGGTTCTGAGGTTATCGTGCAAAACAGGTATGAAGAGAAGATAGTACTAATATAAAGGAGGTTCATAGCATGCATGGTCATCACGCTTTCCTTCGCGGTGACATCGAAGCTCTTTTAAGACGGGGCGTGGACATGGCAGGGAAACGCGAGCGCGGGACAGCACAGACCTCCAGGGCTGCTGGACTAGGGAACGTTGGGGGCAGGCGCGGTCCTGTCGCGCGGGTCGCGCGTTCCCCCTGCACCTTTGTACCTCAGGCACTTTACCTACCTGGTACCTAGCCTAGGTAACTTCTCCACTTGCCAACTTCATACCTTATTAAGGTAGGTACCTGAGGACGGGAGGTAGGTGAATGCGGATCTTCACGATTGTGCTCTTCAGATTACGGTAGACAATCTTCAAGCCTCTTCTGCAGGTGCATGTCTGCTCAAAGTAAATCCATTGATCATTTCGCATTCTCTGTAGCTAACACATTACGTGGGATCTGAAATCACAGCATGCTTGCGAGCATCTGTGCCAGCCACACATACACACACACAAGTGACACGCCCCTCCTCATCATTGTCAAACTCCTGACAGGCTACTCACTTCCCCAGCAGCCAGACCATAAAGGCCCCGATCGCAAAGAAGACCCTCACCGCGAAGTATCTAAGCCCTGTGCTGTGGCCTATGGCTATCCTCCGGTGCGATGTCTCGAGAGTCTGCTGTGCTCGAGGGTAGCTGATCGCGTCGTAGCGTGCCACAGCACTCTCCAAGCTGTCGCCTCCACAGATCTGCTCGGCCAAGTCCCACCCGTCCTTCAAGGCCATGTTGGCCCCGTTTCCCGCAAACGGGCTGACAGCGTGGTTGCTGTCGCCAATAAACACCACACCGCCGAGCTCCTTGTCGTGGTGGTAGAAGGGCTTCTTGTCTCGGGCCGGCAGGCACAGCGCCGTCGCTGCGTCCGTCTTCCGCACCAGCGTCGGGAACGGCTCCGCGAACATGCCCCCCAGCTCAAGAGCCTCCCGCATCAACGCCTGGAACTGCTCCGGCGTCTGGTCGTTTGGCACCTCTCGCGGCCCATCCTCCACTCGGCTTAGTGCCCACACCACTGTCTCCTTGTCCACCGGCGAGAAGAAGCAGCAGACACCCTGCCCTGAGATGACGAGACCCCAGTTGTCCGCAAGTGGTCGTGGGATGCCATCTGGGAATCTGGCGCTGCCGCCAATCTGAACCGCCCCCGCGTAACTGAGCTGGTCGTCCGGCCTGAAACTAGCCCGAATCTTGCTCCTGGCACCATCTGCAGCAATCAAGAGGTCGCACTCGTCCTCTCGTATGGGTTCGTCACCGCCACAGGACAGTCGAAGTCGGATTCGGCCACTTTGAAGTTCTTCGGCAGCAACGCAACTTGCGCCCCATGTGATGGCCATGGCGGCGTCTTCTGCAGCTGCAATGAGTATGTTGCGCAAGTCTCTGCGGGCGATCCGGATGCCAGAGGTCGGTAACCCTCTGTGTGGCCTGAATCGAATGGAGAGGATATCGTTCCAGTCAACATCCCACACCTTGAACGACCCACCAATGCTGTCGAGGCCGAGAACCGCACACTGCAAGGCTTCATCCAGCAGACCCAGCTGCTGCAAGGCGACAAGTCCCCCGTCTTTGTCTGCGCCATTGAGTGATAGCGAATACCCTTCCCGTTTGACGCTTACATCCTTGGTGTCTCTGTCGTATATCACAATCTCGGGCGCTTCGAGGGAAGGGTCCCAAAGTTTCTGAAGTGCAACAACAAATGCTAGGCCAGCTATCCCAGCTCCAGCAACTATTATCTTCCTACCTTCGAGGAAATGAGCGTTCTTGGCTGCCATCTTGGTTAACACCGATCACTGATACCAGCTCTTCTTTTTACCTGGCTATTTTGAGCAGGAGCTTGTGACTTAGTCCTCTACATTTTCAACATCTAGGCAAGCGATCCAGTGCTGAATATCCTTGGGCACGATGCACTGCTTCATGTTCATTTGCGTCATCTCTGTTATTCGCATACTCCAGTACATATCCTACTCCAGTACATCTCCTCTCATACATTCATCGATGTCTACCAGCGTAGACTTACGCGTCCAAGAGATTCCACGTCTTCTCGGCAATGGTAGTTGTGCGATGGCCGAAGTCTCGGGGACGACCACTAAGAATTAAGCTTATCTTCCAACGCTTCGGAACCGAAAACCCCCTTGTGCCCGCATCAATTAGCAGTGAATTTGTAGACCAGTCACCTACACAGGTAGTGCGTCCCAAAGAGTGGGCCAGGCATGCCTCAAGATCGCTCGTAATCAATTGGACATCCACCTACAGGTATCAACGTCGAGGCAGTAATTAATGCTTCCTTGCCCACTAGACCTTTATGCTTCCTCCAATTGGATGAGATACTTGGTGCTCTTACCAACGTCATTCGTGGTGGGACGCTGCTGCGACACGTACATCGTCATCTAAGCCGTCAAATGGCCATCTTTGAAATGTTTTGACCAGGCCCGGGTCCTAGGCTACTACGCATGAAAACATGTCTTAACCGCGAATTCATCGAAACTGTCTCGTGGGCTATTCTTCCATTTGCGAATGGGCGTCCTCTTAGACAACGGCGCCAGTACATTGGTGGGCGTTCGCCGAAAGCTGAGAAGCCGTGGCTGAAAGTGAGGGCTGGGTGACGAGCAAAGGCTTGCGGGTGGACGGGTTGGGGGCCAACCGGAGCCGTTCTTGGGAAGCGTCTGCAAGCCACCGGACGAGCTATGCATGTGTTGCTCTCAGAATTCTCTACTTGGGTAAGGAGTCAATAGGAGGTCAGGCGCCTAGTGCGACGCATAGCTGCTCGAATTTTCCCCTTAAGCGTCATCTTCCTGGCTTCCCGGCTCTTTAACCATTTACACACTTCATCCGTGTCTAAGTCCGGCCATTTCTCGCAAATCGGCACAATCCCCAAGCAAATCGAGCTCTATCCATCTAAGATTTATCAGTAGACCAGCCCTCGCTCAATGAATCTCGCGTTCAATATTGAAACTCAAAGACTAGCGCTCACCATATTGGTTGTATAAGCGTGCTAATGACTTTAACACAGGATCTAGGCTCAATCTGGTCTGCAGCCATGACGATGACACGATTCATGACCCCTTTTCGATGACTCTAGAACGAGAATTGTGTCTCGAGATCAGCCGCTCATTACTGTCCTATGATGGCTTCACGCCATAAGGCATCCGCTGGCGGAGTACCCTTAAAGATGTATAGTCATGATGAGACCATCGAGCTTGAGTAAGTTCATCAGCACCGTCATAACAATAAGTGCTTTTCCTGACTACATCTCCATAAAAGTGTTATTCCAGAAGAGCCACCCTCAGGCGCATCTTCTTTCATCCTAGGCGCGCAACGAACTCCAGATACCCCAAGCACCAAAGGGCTTCTTTCTAGAGAAGGCGGGCGAGAATTTCCATGGTTGTCTCAACAATCAACCAACCGATCGTCCGATTCCATTGACAGCGACACATCCTCAAATCAATGGCCGTTGGGAGTCAAGTCAGGTCTGTTTCTGGTCGCCGGGGTTTTGATTTTAAACTCAGCAACTACGATGTGGGCTTGTCTTTCGTCCCCTATCAGTGGCGGTATAGGCACGCTCCATGTCGGTCCCTGCGAACAGATTCGGAAAACCGGCCTAGGCGTCCACATCATTATAAATTGTATTGGCACATTGCTGCTTGGGGCAAGTAACTTCTGCATGCAATGCCTAACCTCTCCAACGAGAAAAGAGGTTGATACCCAACATATGGACAAAACCTACTTGGAGATTGGGACCTTGAGTTTGAGAAACCTGCGTTTTATTGCGCGTCAACGGCTCTGGCTATGGTTTTTCCTTGGACTCAGTTCTGTGCCAATTCATCTGATGCATGTGACCCGTTTCCCTCTTTGGTCATCAATCTAACGCGGTTCAGGTTCAATTCTGCTGTTTTTGTCAATCTTACGTGAGTATGGTATCACCATCTACTCTCACAAATGCTAATACCATATAGTGCTAATCAGTATATCGTTGCGGCTGTCACTTCAGACTTCGAGAAGGGTGCTGCGTGGGACCTGCCATATGCAACCAAAGACCTTGTAGATCTGGTGACCGCAATGCAATCAAATGTATCTTCTTACCAGATCCTCGATGTCGTGGACTGCATCAAGGATTATGGCGTCGACTTCCTCTACAATCGACGACATGTTTTAGTCGTAACCCAAGACACGGATCTGGAAAACTCGGTGATCGGCACTCTTCACTGGTCCTATGATCGGATACAAAATTCATGGATCTGTGGCACGAATGTGACCGAAAAAATGATACTAACGCCCCTCGATATCAACGAATACGACTGCACTGTAAAGGATGCGTTGGACTCGCTTCCGTTGTGGATCGGCGAACAATTTCTCCAGGTTGATCATTGCCTCAGTCAGCGGGTTTCTGACGAGTGCCGCCTTCAGTTTTCTCTACCTATCATGTTCGTTGTGATATTCTGTAATATTATGAAATTAGTTTGCATTCTCATGACACTACTGAGGAAGGAAACGACGCTCATCACCATGGGAGATGCCCTGGCCTCATTCTTGCGGTGCGAGGACGAGACAACAAAAGGCATGTGCACAGTTACAAGGAAGGAAATTATCGAGGGTTACTGGCCAGATTATCCAGAGCCCAAGCGGTGGGCATATCAACGCCACTTCCGATGGGAGACTGTCGGGTGGTGGAGATGGACCTCGGGGAATGTGTTGTGAGTCGCACTTATATCTTGCATCCGAGTAATTGGCGCGTGTTATTGATACAAGATAGCTGTTTCCTTGCTTGCGTGGCATTTGGGATACTTTTATGGAAAGGCATCGACACCACAACAACGAATCCCGATATGGCGACTTGGTGGAATCTCGGCTTTGGCGAAGTCACCTCTTCAAGCATCATCCGATGGTCAAAGCCGATGCTTGGTGACAGTGGTTTGATAAGGAATGTTTTGCTCGCGAACCTTCCACAAGTCGTGCTATCAACGATGTATCTGATTTATAACCAAATCTACACCTGCATGGCTTTTGCCAACGAATACGCGAGCTTCTTTCACCGACGCCAGTCCATTCGCGTCACTCGGCCGCAAGGACTTCAACGATCAACCCGCTTTTTGACACTCCCATACCGGTACATGATTCCCCTCATGGCTGCCAGTGCAGCAACACACTTCATTCTATCTCAGGGTTTCTTTCTTGTCGCAGTTGACGTCTTTAATAACGAAGGACATCTTGTTAAGGATCAGGCAATTCTCACAGTTGGCTTTTCCGTGATTGCACTCGTTATACTGGTTATTGTTATATGTATCGGAGCCGTTCTCACCTTTGTTCTTGGTTACAGACGGTACAAGCCAGGAATGGCTTTTGCCGGGTCGTGTTCCGCTGCGATCAGTGCTGCATGTCATGTGGCTGAGTTCGAGAACGGTAAGGACGCTGCTGAGCAACAGGTCCAGTGGGGCGTCGTCAGTTCGCAGAACGGACAAGGACATTTGTCATTCAGCTCCGGGCCTGTAAGCGAACCAATTTCTGGGAGATTATACATATGATCTATAGACAGGCTGCGGCAAATCTGCTTACAGCCATGGATGTTTCAGTAGAATCAACGAACTCTGGGTCTGAAGCGTTAAAAATCTTCCTTCAGAATCTGCCATACGCAACTGAAAATGCGTAAATCGGAGTAGACTTTACCTAAAATGAGGCAGACATGTGTAGAAGGCTAGTCAGCCAATTGATACCATTTCCTGACTCAAACAGTACTGTTGCACTGCTAGACAAGAAGAGCACAAATTTGGGCAACCTCATTTGATACAAGGCTGAAGACGACAAGGCTCAAGGAGGAAGGTTCTTTCGAAACTTTTGTTAGTCCGACACACATTTTATATGCTCTCCTGTCAGCCGCCAGTGCATCTATCCGTCTCTGTGGCCTTAATTACTCCGAAGGCGTTCTGCTTTTCAGTATTGCTCTCGGCTGCGTCTATGCAAATGCCACAACCTCTATGCTAGTATAGGTGGCTGGCTCGGTGGCCACCTTGGGAACCTCGAGAAAGGACTCAATCAGCTAAAAACAGCCACAATGGGAAGGGCGTCGAAGTGCATTGCACTATCGGAGAACAACCAATCAAACTTTATCTAATCAGACAGGTAGACTAGGTTGATTATCAGCTGTGATTAAGTCTCAATAATCATTGGCAGCTGAGAACATGGTGGGCAGCCGCAATGTTGGGGGCCGTCTCAAAAGCAAAAGGCTGGCGACTTGCGGCTGAGAGATCTCTTGCCTGCATCTTCAAAGAATTATCCAACTTGCGTCTCGAAAAATCCAATCCTTATCCGTCTTGTTTTATCCATGAGTGATGTGATCCAAGCCATTTACAGCACAAGCGATTAGATACGCATTACTGATTTCCTGCTTAATGCCTCCCTCTCCTAAGCAACACCCTAGCTCCAGGGAATTACGCGACATACCGTCAATTAACCTCCAGCCGGACTCCGCAGCATGGCCACAAGCAACAACTAACGTACAACCCTCATCGTTCCCCTTTGGTGACGGAAAGAATGCTTCCAGTACAGCACATGGAGTCGCAGGACATGAACGCAGCAACACTGAGAAGGAGCTTTGTCGCAACCCAGGCTTTGTCAGCAAAGACGGAGAGATAACTGGGAATCCTCATAATGCGACCAAAGTCGAGTCAGCCAAGACTATCGCCCCAAACTGAAAGTTCAATTCTAATAAATGGCCCTCAGTGTTATCCTTGTTCCATGCCCTGGTGCGGATCCACAAACGACTTGGACAAAGGATCCT